CCCCCATAACATAGTAGATCAAGCATGTATTGATGCACAAACATAACATATACATAATGATAATATAATATATACACAGGATATATTTTATCAAAATAAAAAGAACACTACTTTCACACTATCCTGTTAATATCTATACTTTATTACTATTAAAATCAAACATTCTTCATACAAAAACATCAACAAATAGAAAACATAATTTAAACAAAAGTCTTACAATGTGCAAAATTCAACATATTACATTAATGAAGGTCACATAAGCAGCAGTAAAAGAGATACACTCAAACACTGGTGACTCAAATGGGACGGCAGCCATTGTGCATCTCTTTCTAAAAGTCAACGAATACAGAATAACACATACATAAATTAAATTCTCCTGGACTGTGTTTTCTACAACCCACTGGGCAATTCTCACACACTATGTGCCAAATTAGCAAATTGTGAACGCCGACAGCTCACTGCAGCAACCTAGTGGAGAACAAGCACCATTACAACCTTACAATCACCAGCAGCTCCACAAGAAAACAGATACAAAAATAAATTAAAAAAACCTTAGATGGATATTAAAATATTTGATTATGGCTATTTGAGTATACTGTGAATATGTCATAAATGCTAAACTAAACATGTCCCAATCCAAAAAGATAGAAGCAGAAACCTCTTGATGAGCACACCATCCCTTTTATATTTAAAGCAATTATATTAAAATAACTACAAGTTCCTAAAACCCATTAAATGCACTGTACCAACACATACGATGTAATAAATAATACAACAGTGTTAAGGAATGCACGTGTGATCCGTCTACATCTAAAACAGTGTGAGGACTTCCTACCTCTACATGTTCTGTGTCGTCGTGAATATTACTCATGTGAGATGAGGAACTTCAATAAGTACTGTATCAATCATTTAATTAAATAACTAACACCACAAAACCTGCAGTAGACCAATATACAGCATGTTAATGCAGCAATTAGACTACATTCTATATTAAGACGTTATATTAAGATTTGACTAGCAATAGACACACTATTGAAAAAAATGAATTCCTTGAATGCTTGAAACATTGCTGCATCTCTCCAGGTCCCTGATCCTTTAGTGTTTGATGTAGAATAGAGAGGACATGTGGGACGCCAATCACCTCTCACACGGTCATTTCATACTTCCAGTTTGCTGCAACAACTAAAACAAATCTGTCAAATATTAGAAAAGATAATTTCCTGTTTGACATTGTAATAAAATAAAAGCAGTTCTCTGTCATTAGTACAGTGGGAACACAACTCGTCAACCATCCCAGGGTGATTCATGCACACAGTGTACACAACTTGTGGAATAAGGATGTTTTTACAGCTAAATGCAACAATGTCAATGCAAAAAATACATTTTAAATTATTTGGAACTACCAGCAGGTTACACAGGCAACGACTCGTGATCCATAATTTTGGCACTGAAACTTCTGATTTGCAAAACAATCTCAAAAATAAGGCTCATCCAAGCAGCAACATGAGAGTATGCTGACATGGCAGAGTGGTGACAGCTGACAGATAACTTGCGTTCTATGGTGATTAATGCTGGACTTACTCTATAATGAACGTACAATACATTACACTTCACTACAGATCAGCACTTGTAAAAGCACAGTGGAATAACAGTAATAATATACTGAGAGTCAGTGTCTTACAGCTAGTGGATGACCTTTGGTGGGCTTTTCCTTGAGTGTTCCTTCTGAGGACGTAGACAGACAGTTGATAGTTCAGATGATGACTGGTTAAGAGTTCAGGGGCCACACAAAGTGTGCGGTCCCTTTATCGGGGTTTGGGTAGATGAGCAGAGGAGCCTCTGCAAAACGATATGTCAAAGCTTTAAAGGGTCGCTCCAATACACTTAAGACAGTTATTAGAGATAAGCATCCTTCTCCAGATACAAGTGAACAAGATTCTTATACATTTCCACAGCTAATTATTTTACAGATTTCTCAATCCATGGAAAACAAAATGGTAAGTTTTGTTTGTTTTCCAACATCATATAGTGACGGTTTTTTCATCCTTGTGGCTTGAAAAACAAATCAGATTCTTAGTTTCTGTTCTAGCAACATTTGTGCCCAGAGAGGATCCGTACCAGATCGGTGACTTCTAAACATCAATGGCCACGCCGTGTTTGGTGGAGATCACATCCCTGGTTCCTGTCAAATACATGAGCACCGAACACAGGTGAGGGAGCGTCGCCGTGGTGCTGACGTACAGCCAGTAGGGGAGCGGTGCCGTGTTGCCGAACGGACACACCCACAGGCCGTGGCGCACGGCGTCGCGGATGTGGTGCGTGGCCATGGAAATGAAAAGCATCCACGGCAAGGAGCACCAAGCGTCTTTGAGGCGTCCGATCCACATGAGGAAGCGGAGCGAGAGACAGAGGACCGGGATGAGAGAGGAGCAGTGGAGAGGAGGACGCTGAGGGAGCGAGACGGCAGCCTGGAAGAAAAGGGGAAGAGTGTTTTTATTTTGACTATTTTAAAAAAGAAGAAGAAAAGTGGACTTTGCCATTCTCCCTGATCGATATGAATTAGTTACGCACTGTGTCATGTTCAGTACATTTCTATCAAATCCTACCTTGAGTGACAGGGATCCAGCCATGTAGAAATGGTCCAGGTCTATGATTGACGCCATAAGACCGGCAAGCAGCACCTCATACAGGTCACTCTTTTTCCTCAGTCCAATAACAACGGCCCACGACCACAGCCCCACAAATCCGTGTGTGGCGTTGTCCAAGGCGGCGCGCAGCCACAGGTGGTTCTGGATGACGGACAGCTGGAGGGCGTGGTCCGCCACCACGCAGAACATACCGAGTCCTGCCGACGCCAGCAGGGAGGCGGAGCTGAATGTCTGTAGGAGAGCCTGAGCCTTTTCCGTCTCCACGGCCAGGCTGAGAGGTACAGGGGCACCTTCTCCCCCGAGGCCCGCCCCCAATAACGGGGATAAGGAGAGGGAGGAGTCCAGCTTGGAGTAGAATCCTTGCATGTTGACAGATGGCTGTGGGGGCCAATCACCACTGAAGTTCAGCAACAGTCAGGTAGACTGGAGGAGGAAGGAAGGAAGGAGAGGGATTAATGAGGGAAAATGAAAAGAGGAGAAGAAGAGTGGGGTCTGGCTTTGGGCCGATGTGTAAACACAAAGCACTCATATTACATTCCCAAAAAACACTGTGAAGATGTGTACCTCTGTACCATGTTCTGTTTGGATCTACTACAGTACCTGCTGGTAAAACCTTGTTTTAAGAAATATATACTGATTGTTTTGTTATCATTCAATAAATACACCTCCCATGAGGTTTGGACAATGTGACTTTGCCACTATGCATCAAGAATAGAAAATATAATCAAATATAGATTCTCACAAATAAAGACAATAAATACAACAAACATTACAGTGCACATTGGGTAATACAGATGATATGCGAGTGGTTTTAGTATTATAATAATGAATGTGTTCTCTATATATTGCCACTTCAAATATCACCACGTATTGAGCATGAATGACTTGAAGGTGGGGCTTCACCCTCCACTATGATAAAAAGCATAATACTGTGGTATCACATATATAAAAGGTTCCTTTATAACATAGATCTCTGTCTCTCGTGCAATTGAGTGAAATGTAGCACATTTACATCATCGTTATCGACTGCAGGTATGACACGAGTCTCCTGCTTTGAACATTTAACCTTTTCAAACGTGCCCATGAACATGAATGTTTAATTAGCTAGCTACCAGCTAACGTTACTGTAGTTAACTCTGCTGTATGTCTGCAAGGCTAACAGTGGTGGACGTCATTTATCTTCGTCCGGCATTCACAAGTTAACGTGAGGCCGTCGTTCTAAAAGGGAGACATGTTAGATAACCTGCTCTTACCAAGCTAAGATAACATCATTGACAATGAGAGCTAACTAGGAGCTAACTGGCTAACAGTGTCATGATATGATTCCGCTTTGTGTAGGCGGACAGCAGCTGTCACGATTAGCTCTGCTATAACTGCAGTGAATTTCACAATATGACACGCTTTGTTTTCAAGCTAAACATGTAATTCAATTGTATATTTGTCTAATTTAAGTGTTTTTTTAAGTCAGTTCTGACCAACTGGTAGATAAATATAACGATAACGTTACTCACCCCATCGCCCTGGGTTTGTTTGCCGATCGACAGGCTTGACACTTCTTCTGTGGTGTTTTCCGGTAGTACAGTACTGATGGTCGGCGGCGCTTTGCTTCCACCCACAGGTCATGGGTGGAACAGCTGGATATCGCCAGAAGAATATCCTTCCGTCTTTGAGGGGATCTTATTTGTTCCGTACATTAAGTGGTTTTATTTCGAAGTTATTTAATGTAACACGAATATGTTTTGTGAAAAACACAGTGAAAATGAAATCCATGTCCAACATGTCTTTTTTTTTTCTTTAAAAAAGCCTCCGTTAAAAAAGAAGAAGGAAAACACAGTTTCTGTGTGTTTATTTGGTGGTATATCACACCTACTTCTGTTTTATCTTAAGAATCCAACCGAAATGTAATTAAAATATAGGTTGGGCATGGGTTGGGTTACAAACCATTCCTATCTTTGGGGGACACTGCATAACACTGCAAATAATTAAAATGTCCAGTTTTGAACTTTTGCAAATTCAATCAATCTTAAATTAAATATTTACATTTCAATTTTAAGCCTATTCAGTATTTAGTCCAACATGTCATAGTCTAATATATTTAATCACATATTTCTACAGTGGTTTTGCTTCTATGACATTACAGGCCCTGACTGGCACTGGGACCTGGACTTGGATTAAACATTATAAAGACAAACTAGGACTACACTGCCAGAGGTTCATTGATGAACACCGTCTTTTTTACTGGTCAGTCTTTGACTTTATTTTTAGAAATGGAGAGCTTGTGGTGAGCCAACTAATTATTTATTACACCTGTACTTTAAGCCTCCAGTAAAAAGTCTATAACTTGCACAGGATTGACTATATACTGAAAAAAGTGTCGTACAACTCTATTCTGCAAAAACCCACCATCATATCTGCTCATTTTCAACCAAAGCTGGATAAGGCCAAGCAACATAGGGTGAACACAGTGAATGAAACTGTCACTGCTACAGCAAAGAGAAATCCGATCAAGGCTGTCACAGAAGAGATCTAACCTTTAGTGGCTGCAGTGTCTCTGAGCACCACTAGAGGGCTAAAGAGACCACAGAATGAAAACAAATGAAGGACTTGTGAAGTGAATGACACTGTCTGCAGCCTGGCTCTCTTCTTACACGTGTAACAATAATTCTCAATTCACGATAGTTTACACTGTTTTAGGATCCAAAATGGGCTCGAGACTAATGATGAGCGGCACACTATATAAACCAGACCAACAGGTTGTCTTACAAACAATGCTGCTTTTGGATATGTTAAGATAGTATTTATATTATATGATTATGACAGGCAGAATAATACCAATATTGAACCCTAACTGGAACAAAATATAGGTTCCCCTATTACGAATCAGGCAATCCCACTGAGCGGCGGGTTCGTGTGTCAGTTCAAAGGAGGAAATTTGGCATGCAATAAATTTACATTTCACCAGTCATGTAAAATCCAATTTTAATAATGTCTCTACTAAGGATCCAGGATTATATCTGTTTAACCCCGATGCATCTGATGTGCCCGGCTCTCTTTTTTTTCTTCTCTAATTGACTTCATCAGTAGTCATTCAGAATTCAAATTCAATCTGTGATTTGCTTTTTCTCTATTTTTGAGAAATGAGCTCAACATTTTCTGATTTGTTTTTTTCCATTTCTGTGTCTTGAATGGAGTGACAGTGTTAACAGTTGCTTTTTAATTTAAAAGACATCTCTGCTGACTCACCGAGCTTGTATGTATGGCAATTTGGTCAGTTCCTGAAGAGAGTGACAAGATCAATCCAATCACGAGAAGCACTACAGTTTGGAGAACGAGGCTGCCATATCCGCAGTGAGAAACACCCTGGATGTTCCAGCAGTATTTGTGGTGAACATGACTGAGGACACAAACTGTCATTTCGTAGCACTGACTCACAACTCAAGTCCTTCATAGACGTCAGTGACAACAAATGTGTTCTGTTGTGTTTACGCCTGACAAACAACTGTTGGAACAATCACCAGAATAAAAGAGGAGAATAACATTTTTGGTTTGCTTGTTCTTTCACACGTAAATGTTCACTAACACATGGTTACTAATGCATTGAGACATACTGGTGTTCTGCTCCACCCAATTCTTCTGCACACAGCAAAGGCGCTGGACCGTCCATCATGATGGTGGACTTCATTAGTTTGCAAGTCACATGAGGACAGAGGAGTGATGAAATCTTCTTTTATACCGATAATTCAGCACCATGGAGAGAAGCAAGAGAGAACAGAGGTGGAGACCGCGTTGGGATGTTTCAGCACCGCAGACAGCGCACAGTGAAAGAGGTGGTCTCTGCTGCTCTCCAGTGGCCACATGGAGGATCTTTACTTCTTTTTTCATTTTTCTCCAAAGGTGTGACATTTTCAAATACATAAATAAATAAATTAAACAAATTAATTAAAGTAACAAAGTTTTGTATTTGGCTGTTCAAAGTTCTAAAAAAAGGTAGTTAGCTTAGAGTTTAATTATGCTGCATGTAACACCAGTGCAAACTACAACCTCAATAATAAACATTAATAGTTAACAGTTAAATGAATACCTTGACAGTGTCCATCAAAACTGTTAACATCATTAAATGTATATGAATATATATGGCTTCAAAACTGAGTAAATTAATAACAAGAATAAGGACAAATTATAAGAAGATGAAGAAAAATGTATAAGAAAAGAGTGTGATTAGGTACTGTAGATAAGTAGCACGAAAAGGGAGTTGAAACACTGTGTGACAAACAGACAAGAATTGTAAAACAGAGAGATAAGATAAGTCCTGGAGCAAAGATAGGGAGGCAGCCAGTTGAGTGTTTAAAGAGGCGAGAGCCAGGGCAGAATTGAGAGGGAAGGAGAGACCGTGTCATTCTTCCAGTTATCAGTGAAAGGTCAAGCTAGTCATTAGAGAAGTCTGTGGATGCAATATCCACACACACACACACACACGCACGCACACACGCACGCGCGCGTAGAGGTTAATGTGGATCACATCGTGGTTGCACACAAAGGGCGCATGGCTGAACATTTCAATTGCATTTAATTAAAGTCAGGTAGAAATATCAGTTTAATGCTATTTACTCCGACTGTTTTCAACATGAAGAACAACAAGGACAACATAAGACTAAGTCCTCACCAGTCTGATGTCACGGTGGTCCTTTTACCCTTCTTGTTCACTTCATGCACTGCCATTGTAAATATTAATTGGGTTCTCATCGACACACAAAAAAGGTCGGGCCAGTATAAGCAAGGGAAGAGGGAGAGGAAGGAAAGACTAATGAATGCAATACCCACGGCAGCAGATACACTCTCCTATCTGCACGCACACACAAAGAGGACTCAGCTGACAGCTGTTAGATGGTGTATTGATTTGTCCTTGGTCTGCACGTCGGCCTGCCAGAACTTGTCAGAATATTGAAAGAAAGAGAGCTTGAGAGAGGCAAGAGAGACAGTGAGACAGATTAAAGAGAGAGGGAGACACAGAGTGAGATCTAAAGGTCAAGAGGAGAGTTTTGACCAAACAAATCCTCCTTTGTTCTTATTTTGCTGTTGAATTTATCCATCTGATTGTGGATGTTGTATTTATCTGAGAAAGTTAACTTACCGAGATCTGGACACCGTGATGTCAGATAGGGTAGGAAACACAAGCTGTTCGACGATCATCCAAGTTTTAAATGAAACCCCACTTCGGCCAAAACTTATTTGGTAGAATTACTGCCGTAACAGTCCACGTGTTATCATAACCGCTAGAAATGACGGCCAAAGCTACAAAAGTATGACCCAAGTCAAAATAAAGATAAATTATAGGGCTACTTTAAGGTTAGGGAAATATCATTACATTTCCAAGAGGCATATACATGTCTGTTTTTTTTGCAACTGTTGGGACACAAACATGGGTTCTGCAAAAAAAAAAAGAACAAAAAAACCCCTCATACTGCTGTCACCTTCTCCTTGTATTTTTCAGTGTGTATGACTAACAAGACTTCGCTTAAAGATGGTTTTTAATCTCTTCAAGCAACTCTCTCTGTACAGGCCTGAGAACCAGAACAATGAGCTGCAGAATGGGTTGTTTTATTTGGTTAGTGGGAGCAGAATGACTATAACCTTTTCACGTTCAACAAAGTGATTCAAGTTCTTGTGTTTGTTCCTTTTTTAGTTGCTCAGAATTTGTGTTCCATTGATGAAGTTACTTTATCTCTGTCTTTGTTTTTATTCACTTTTGGAACAACAATGGACAAGAAACATGAACAGACGGATCAAACAGGTGTCTGTTTTTGAACTCATTTCATTCTTAGACATGCTAGAGGGCATGGCTCCAAGGATGGTAATGTCAGTCTGATCAATTCAGATATGCATGGCCCCCAGATGATGAAACCTGCTGACTTTGGTCATCCTCTTACTTATTCTCTATAGCCACACCAGCTTGTTGACATTCTTAGGTCATAATTGAAATATCTATCTTGCTGGATTGCCATGAAACGTGATACAGACATTCATGTTCCCAGGAGGATGAATTGTGATTAGACTGACCCTGTGACTTTACCTCTAACGCTATATTAAGGTCCACATTTTGACTTGCCAAATACTTGCATACCAGCAAAACTAATTGCATTTCCAGCAGCCTCAGCTGTACTTTGTGTTTAGTGCTAATAAGCAAATACTAGCATGCCAACACACTAAACTAGCAAGTCATTGTTAGCGTAGAGCTTTTCATTGAGTGGGAAACTAGCTTTAACACATCCTCTTATAAAAGCATTTTAAGTTGCTCAAATCAGTGCCTTCCCCAGTTAGCATCTGTGTGTGACATGCAATATAATAAAATATGATATAGTATATAATAATGTGATTGATGTGATTTGAGGCAAAAGGAAATCAATTAAATTCATGGACACAAATCCCCTGTAATAAGATACCACCTGATGATAAAGTTTAAGTGTGAAGAATAATGTGTGCTTCTAAAACAATGTGAGTGGAGAGAGACTGGTGCATCATATATGCAAACAGTAGTCCATGCAATACCAATATATCTCATCTGAATCTGTAAATGTACTTTTACCATCAAGTCAAAGTGAGAAAAAACATTCTCTGCGAGGCCACAAGTATTGGTTTGGAAAACTAGAAAGGAAGCAGACTCGTCTATTGCAGACTCGTGATGTAAGTAGTGCATCATCACTGGTATTCCATTGAAAAGTTAGTCTTCATGACAGTTTAGAAAAAAGAATTCCTCTTTTGCATCATGAGCATCACCTGGTCAGAGCAGGAAGAATAACGGTGATGTAATGTGTTCTCACTGTATCAGCTCATAAGGACAAAATGAATATGAGGCCAGTGTGTCATCATTCATTGTGAAATGGTCACATTTAATGGTTGAAACCTGTCATTGTATATACATCTATAAAAAAGACCCCAGGTACAGGTTACGACATTCTACTGCTAATACATACATTATTATTATTATTAAATAATAAACTTTTTGTTCAATGTTAAAGTTACATATCATAGTTTACAAAATATGAGCAAGGAGAATTAAGCCATTATTAATGTCCGAAAGAAAAAAACTAAAATCCTATATGTGTGTTTGTATTATTTGTCCATAAGATAAAAAAATACAATAAAACACATCAATATTCCTTTGAATAACATAATATTAACTGGTGATATTGGCTATTGAAATGTAAACTGCAAAAAGACATTTTTTCTATGTTTGTAAAGGCGTCAGAATTTGGGAAGCAAACTGTTCTGTTATTTTATTTTAAATCACAGAGCAGAACTGAAAACCAACATCGATCGTTTCGATGTTTCAATAACCAACTTTGTCGTCGTCGAGCCAAAACAAACGGGCGGGCAAAGAACTGTTCAGTCTCAAATCCACTGATGTATTTATTTTACAATCCAGGTCCTCTTTGCCAGTCGTTGAAAGCAGAGAGTAAAGCTAATCGTGTAAATAAACCAGACTACCGTGACTGAATTCTTCAGCGTTAGTCCTCGTATCGAACAAAACAACTCGCTCCGTCAGTTTGATTCAGTCGTTGGCAGATTCAGAGTCTGATTGAGTATTTGTCTGGCTTCTTTGATAAATGGCAGGTTTACACAAATGGGAGCTTCAGGTTCCCTCGGACTCGTCCCAAGTTAAATTTTTGTACTGTTTGAGTTGGCATCAATTTGGTGTTGTGCGTACACACACATACACACACACACACACACATATATATATATATATATATATAACTTTCTGGAGTTTTCAACCCACGACGAAGGCAGACACGGGCTTCAGGAAGCTCAGTGAATTGTTTGGGAACCATTTTGTTTTGGGGGGTGAGTTGAGTCTTTGGCATGATGATTTAGCTGTATGGGGACTGCTACGGTTACTATACACACAAACACACTATATATGTGTGTGTTCGTCCGTACGGTGCTGCAATTTCAGAAGAAAGTGAAAATTAATTCATAATCAATAAAATAAAAAGGACAAAAAGGTAATGGGGAGATTTTTTTTTGTTTTCATCTGAAGAGTCGATTTTCTTGATCTGAAGAGGAGATTCCCAAACCAAACTGTTGTCTGCCAAACAAAGTCTGCTGTGGCCAACCAAAGCCACAAGGGGGTAATATAAGACTGTTTATGCTGATATCACTGCTGTAGTTGTTGTTGTGGTGGTGGTTGGTGCTGCTCCTGTTGGTGCTGTTGTTGTTGTTGTTGTTGTTGTTGATGATGGAGCCGCTTTCAAAAGCTCCTCTGAAGAATTTCTTTGTCTCCATTTATCAAAAATGCTGAATGGCATTATCATCGTCTAGTTTCATGTCTAAGTAATCTCGGTGAGTAACTGAGTGATGGACAGAAATGATCAATGCACTGTATCCTGGAAACATGTGCAAAATAGAAAAAAAGACCAGCCTCCTCCTCCTCTTCTTCTTCCTCCTACTCTCTTCAGCAATATGACATTTACATCTAGAAAGAAACGGAGAAAAGCACAAATTTGGCATCACAAGCTGCACCTCATCAAACAATGGAATCATCTACTTTGTCGATCCTGTTTGAGGCGTATCCCTTGTGATTTGCTGTTTATTAGTTAGTAGTTAGTACTGGTTGTATATGTCTGGTTGTAGATAATCTTTATATCAGTCAGTCATTAACTTTTTACCAAAGTAAAAGTACCAATTCCAAACCAAGGGCCATCTCAAGGTAAACTGACGCGCCAGATGGTTTGTTGCACAGAACCAACCGAGAGGCCGTCATTGGAAACTGTTTGGAAAAGGGCAGGAAGTGTCAAAAGATACTTGGCAGGTGGTTGGATGAACCGTCTGTCAATCAAACTCTTGCGAGACGGGAAAAGCGTTCGCGGTTGTTCTTCTTTCAATGAAGAAATACTCTCCAGTTCAGATATAACTGATGCTATTGCAGCATCCACGCTAACCTCATCAGGAACCACCATTGTTGTTTAGAACAAACAGTCGTCTCTCTTTGTCGTCTCGCACACAACTAAACCGCGGCCTTAACGGCCAGTACTCCTTTACAGGATGCTGATTGGTCCAGACACAAACGCATTACTTGAAGCCTAACTTTGTGTTAGATCATTTCATTTTTTGGGGCCTTAAACAGTTATCTAAACTAAACCATGTGAGAAGGTTAGAGGGGATATGTCTCGTTGGTGGAACCACTGGTATACTCCCCAACTATGCATTGTATTTCATATAATCATCAAATATTTATTTTATAAACTAGCTTTGACCTTTAGCACAAACACAAATTATGATCTGTCATTCATGATCTTGAGAGCTAGGACTGTGTGTGTAAACAGCACATAACAGATTCCCAGCTGGACTCGCTGTAGCAGAGTGTACGATAGAATGACCAAGAAATTCATCCTCCAGTGGTTAAAATGAGCTGCAGGTGTTCACTTAGAGATGCAGCCAAGTTTAATGTTATTTGGTTAAAGTGTTATGATAGGAGTGCTCTTTGGCAGTGTTTCTTTTTTTGGGATCAGAAAACCATTACAGTGTGCGTTTCTGTGAACCGTGACATTCAGCATTTCAACATTCATTGTTTAACATCTACATCATCGACAGGAGATGTGCTATTACGGCATGATTTACAGAGTAAAACGTGTAAAATTAATGAAATGGGACAGCCTTGCATTGAATTTTACCTCAATCCCTTCAGGGGCTCGGCAGAAAAATATGAAGAAAAACACCCTGCTGGGTCATAAAACAAACTCAATCGTTGTTGCTCTCGTTCTATTAAACAAGCTCCTGACATCAATAGATATGCATCGACTTGCCAATATGTGACTGAATGACTGAGTTAATGAATTCAAAGTTGAGGGGTTTGGAGACTCATTACAAGACGTGTGTGTGTGTGTGTGTGTGTGTGTGTGTGTGTGTGTGTGTTTGCTCACCACATGAAAAGCAGCAGCATTCCTAACAGCAAAGGGGAGACAAATGTGAGGAGTCTTGCAGCTCTGCCCACTGGAGGTTCAGCCTTTTGTGGTGCGTTGGAGGACGGTATGGGGGAGGTCTTAGTCTCTGAAAAAACAATCAGAAAACACAATAAACCTTACTAACCCTAACTCTTTCTCTTTGCTTTTCTTTCTTTTTTTCCCCCTGTGGTCATACAGTGTGACACAATCATTTGTTCCTAAGGGGCAAAATACACAAAACGTTGTATTGATGAATGGACACTGAAAAGTACTCATCATACCGGGCAGAACCAAACAGAAAGGAAAATACAGTGCAGAGTGGAATCAATTCTAATCGCAGTCAATATGGGACTTGTCAAAGCAGTTATGAAGTGAACTGGACAAAAAAAAATCTCTTTCACACTGAAGCCGCAGGGAAACAGAGAGAGAGAGAGAGAAGGACAGAAGACCAAAATAGATAAAATATGGAGACACAAATAGGAGAAAGGGAGAATGTGCAAAAAAACCCTGAGGTAAAGGAGACAGTGAACGGAGCAGGAGGTGTATAAAGTTAAAAAAAGGGGGAATGTGCATTGCTAAAGTTAATATACTGCTGATAAGGGACGGTCTAATACACACTTTGAAAATCTACCCATTTACCCACCCATAATATGCTGTATATTTAGATTTTACAGAACATAAGCAGAACTCTAGACCGCCTTCAGTCCCATTTAAGTGATTTGAGTGCGCTGAGACTTGACTTCCTGAAGACCTCACATGAATTGAGACTTGAAAGCAATAACCTTTATGTCCTGGTAAAATTTCAGAACAGCAAATCAATAACAAAATAATAATAATAATTAAAAATAAAATAGAAAGAAACCCATTTCCATTCCCAGCTGAATACATTATGTTAATGTGTATGGGGCGGGTCCTTAACAGCTGGTGGGAAACATAAATATGCTGGAAATGACGATGTGCTTAAGCTGTTTTAGTGCTTTTGGTTTTACATAACATGACAAATAAAAATATCCCAGTTTAATGCTTTATTAAACGGGTGCAGGCAGCACAGTAGATATTAACTCATGCATATTGTTTGTAGCTCAGTCTTGAACCCGCTGCATTTTTGTTACTGGAGAGAGAATATGATTTCCCTCTCCTTCTAATTAATGACTTTTGTGTAGCACTGTGTTGGCAGTCAGGAAGAGGCAGTCAGGTGTGAAATAGCCAGAAAGAGAGAGAGAGAGAGAGAGAGAGAGAGAGAGAGAGAGAGAGAGAGAAAACTAGGACACATTAACCATGTTCAGCAGCTCTGTGCAATACTTTCCTGCCTGCAGCACAACATTTTGCTTTGGAGTGGTGGCGGAAATAAAAATTATGCAGACATAATGTGATGGCGACGAGGAGAGACAGTTATGGGGTGTACGTTGATGTAACAAGGTAGTTGGGGGACAGGGAGACATGACAATGATGTGAGGAGGAGATAGATGAACAACAGTGGGGAAGAGAAACAGGTGAAGAGAGGGAGCAGAGCAGGCAGGCAGAGAGGTGAGGGAGAGATCTGAAAAATAAAGAGAAAACAATAGGGATGGATGAAGATTGGACAAGAGGAAGAGAAGACAATAAGATTAAGTTCCCCTTAAGGTAAAGGTGAAGTCTGAGGCTTTAGGATATTCAACTGTGAAGACGATTGTAAGAAAATCAACGTCTGTGATCATCCATACGGTTCCCATTTCAAAGTTTTCTCTTCATAACATACCCACCACAGAAACAAAGGACAGACGACTCCTGGATAAACAATACTGTAGGGTTATCTTATTTATGGCTGTAGCTTTTATAGCTCTATGCCCATGAGCCTCAATTACCGTTGCTACTGTATGAAGAAGAAGCCAGTACGAGGCGCCAATCAGAGCCGCAGTAAATACGAAATGGTTTGTTTTTGCAGAAAACAAACCAGAACTAAACAAGAAAAACAGAGGCAGCGATGCCAAACTCATCAAAAAATTGACCTCTGCTCCAAAAGTGAGTTGATTTAACCTGCATTTATTTTCTACAAAGCCTACGCTGCAGCTTCTGCGTGCCCTTGGCGGTGCACACACCCACATTTTAGGATTTATGTTTTGTATCCAAATGCACCTTGGGAGTTGTAGTTAAGGCTTCCACCTCTTTTTTTTTTTTTTTAAATCAAAAATAAGACATTTTCTAACTCAGATACTAAATGTTTACACTGCTGGTTCTTTTTCGTGTCCATTGCAACCGTGGCAGTGCTCTAACCATGTCAATCGCCCAACACTGTTTACGGAGAAACCGATTGATGATTGATCTTTGCTTCTAGAACCCTGAACGCATGAAATGACACCTCCCTTCTTAATACTCTACGTCACCTTAAAGACAGAATAATGTCATGGTAATAAGTAGAGGTTTTCCTGTGAAGTGGAGCCAGCATGCAGTAGAGGAGGACCTTAAAGAACCTCAGCATTTGCTTCAACATTTGGCTGTGGTTTCTGCTTATTAAGCAGAAACTTGTAAGCATTTATAAATAGATCTAGACATGAGGGATATTAGACGTGATGTCTAGTGTTGCCTGTTTGGCGCTAGACAGTGTCCAGTTTCTGTCTCACAGAGTGGGCGAGGCAGACACTTATACCTTAGATGGCTGCAACACTAAAGATCGCTGCAACTTTTTAAAGCCACGACTGAATCCTCTTTTTACTTCGTGGATTTTCTAATTTTCAAATTAGAGAGTGCAAACTGAATAATTACTTGTTTGACTTTTTAAAATGTATGATAGGGTCCCTGTCTGGACTTGAATGAATTGTGTTGTGGTTACGTATACCCTTTTTTAATGCACAAATTAAAAATGAGCGTAAAAACAGGTGTACCTACAGTTTTTTTTACTTCTAAACTGCATTTAATTTAAGGACAAACTAAAAAAAAACATGGAGAAATGGGGTAAGCATCAATGGGAATGACAACCAAACCCTGTAGTCACTTCATAACAAAGCAGTTACAACAGATGTAATCAGTCGTCCACCAAGTAACATCTGTAAAGAAGGTGGCAAAAGGCCAGAAAAAGAGATCGGTACGAAGGGTGAGGGGACGAAAGATAAGAGCAGGAGTGAGTTGAGTGATCAATAGACAGAAACGTGAGAGGAACAGAGAAACAAAAAGACTGAAAGAGAGACCTGAAAGAAAACAAGAGAATGAGAGAACGGGACGAGGAGAGAGCGAAGGGAAGCAGCGAAGCTGCAGCTGGATTGAGAGATGGCATGACGAGAATCCCAATAACCTCCTGTTATTTACTCAGGAACAAGAATAATACACTGTGTCCTGAGTCAGTGTTTATGTGTGTGTGTGTGTACACTGCATGTTATCAGAGGAAGGTACTGTGTACGTGTGTATTCATATGTGTGTGTGTGTGAGAGGGACTGTCAGATGTGTTCTGTGTGTGCTATTTAGCATGTGTTTGTGTGTTTTAAGGCATGCGTTAGCACATTCAGTGTTGACTGTAAAGATTGGTGCGCAGTGCTGCTTGTGACCAGCAGGAGTCACTGCTGGACTGTAAAACTGTTTAGAAATGTCAATGGCCGGGCAGCGTGATGGAGAGAAAGACAGGTAGACAGACTGAATCTTTTCTCTGAAGGATTTCAAATTGGGTTCATATTGTCAGTGAATCACAGCTCCAGGATATTAATTCTCTTCTTTGTTTTTTCTTCTTGACGGATGTAAAAGCCATGTTGCACGGTTGATAAATAAAGTTTGCTCAAGTGAATTTATCAATATGTTGACATGCAATGGCGTAGGTTTGGATGCAGGACTTTAAGTTAGGTCAGGGGTTCAACCAAAATGCTTTCCAAAAATAATAAAAAATCGTTTTCAAATGCACATTTTACACTTTGATAGAGACCTCATATTGCTCCTAGAACTGTATTTGTCCGATGTTTGTGCTTTTTACCTTGTGAAGTTTGTGCTCCAATCCGGAGCTGTAACAAATCCGTTGACACTTGAATAATCCACATTTCTTTTCAAATTTTTACCAACGACCATTGGTTGAAGGTCTCGGCTTGTTGCAGTGATGCAGAAGTGTACTTAGGGTGTGGTCAGTACACCGTGACATCACTATAGGATTTGGTTGTAGGAGCAAAAGCACACCTTGCATCACAATAGACAGCAAAGTGGTGACACAGACACACAAAGTAGCTTTTAACCACAATCAAAACACCTTCATTTACAAGATTTTGCATTAAAGTTCTGTTTTCAATATCCTAATAAAAGTGTTTGCTAGTAGGCTGATATGCAACTGGTGATGGTGTAGATTACCACTTCCTTCTGTACATTTGCCAGATCACAGCAGGACTACAATTTAAACCTTTATGGAATGAGTGGACATCAAACCCTGTCCACTCTTTTTCAGTGTTGATTCATTTAAAATGTGTCCTTTCATTAGTGCAGTGCTATTCCAGCGTGGTCAGAGAGAACAATACGAAAGACCTGGAATGGATGTCTTGTTGTTCAGAGATCATCAGTGCGTTGAGAGATTTCGACTTGACAAGAGAGCCATCCTTGAATTTCGCCATACGTGGAAGGGGTGCCAACAAGATAATTCCTAGGGATAGTTTTTGTCCTTGTGTGTACGAGTGTGTGTGTGTGTGTGTGTATCAAGGGACACACAGAATATAATAATCTGTAGTGGATTTAATGTCAAATGATCATTTCTCATGCATAAATAAAACCGAGAAAGTGATCTGAGGCTGTAGGACGGACGTGAGCATATTTAAAAAGATGGCACAGTGTTTCCCTGAGGCCTTGTTCGGGCGCTCAGGTTGATGCGTGTGGATTCGTCTTGAGGCTGCTGGATCTTGTAGCTTATTAAACTGCGATAAAAGTTCAAGGCTATCAAACGCTTATAGTGTACTCAATTTAATGATAAAGAAAGTTATTAACCAAACTTAATTTCATACCTAACTGGCTCAGGAAATTTACTGCGTGACAGCCGTGGGCAGAAAGAACACTGTTCCAAACATTATAGGAATACTATATTATCATCTTAATGATTTCTTCACCTGACAACTTCTACACAACTGACAAAAACCAAACAGCGTTATAGAAATACTATTGTAATATTTCCACATACATACAGTCACACACTAAGCCATTAGTCACTCTATCTTTACCATTCTCCTACTCTCTTTGAACTGGTCAATTTGCATATTTGGGGAGTTAAAAAGTGTATCATTAACTATTCATAACAAGCCATCTCAATACATTACAGGCTACTGCTAGACACCAATTTGCATTTAGCCTCTTTCTCATCTTTATTCTGTCCTTCTCATGCAAACCTTTTAGCCACATTGGCAGTCAGCAGGGGTCCACCACTTATGTCCAGACTAGAATATCACAACAACTATTGGGTGGGAGGACTGCCATTCAATTCTGTACAGACGTGCATGGTGCCCAGAGGATGACCCCTACTGACTTTACTGATTACTTTTCCTTTAACGCCGTCAGCATTTCAAAGTGTTTACTTGTCCAGTGAAATACTAGATGGATTGGCACTAAATTCTGGACAAACATTTGCAGTTTCAAGTCTATGTATCCTAATGTTTTGGTAAATGCTTTGACTTTTTCGGTTGTGCAACCATGAGGTTGGTATTTGTGGTTTTGAGTGAAATGTTTCAATAACGAGTGGATGCATTTCCATGACATTTGGTAAACACATTCATGTCTCCCACAGGAGGAATTGTAAGCACTTTGGTGATCCTCCAACTTTCCATCTAGCACCATCATCAGGTCAACATTTTGATTCATCAATAAGTTTATGACCAAATATATTCATTCATAAATTGAAATCTGCTGCATTTGTTTAGCCAGTCAGCCTTTTAAATGTGTTTCTGACTGATGGAGTGTGTCTTTTAATGTACGATGTGCATTGGGAAACCTTAATCAAAGAAAGCTCAGCACAAGAACACGGTCCTTCAATCTTGACAGTGTGGATTCGAGAGTGTTTTCAGAAACTAAATGTTCATCTCGGTCAGTACAGTGCCAACACTGATCACATACACGTGTAGCTGACTTATGTCACCGACTCTGAAAGCGACCAACAGGTAAGAATAAAAGAAACAGGCTTTAAGTGAGGCTGTAACTTACCGGTAGGAAAGTCCACTTCGGTTGTGGAAGTAATTTGCTCTTCAATCCAGGGTGTAGCATGGACGGCAACACTCCAGTCACTCCAGGTTCCAATCTCTGTGTCCTTGGCAGCCACCTGTTGAACACAAGGACAGTATTTATTAATTAAATTAGAGGCATTCATTAATAAGCTTAAAAATTATTTGAAAATTCAATAGATTGTGCAGGAACAGGCTGTATAGACTAAAAACATGAAGCATAGAGCAATACATGTATGTATGAATAAATAAATACATTTATAGGTATGTATTTATATTTTATTGGTTTCTGATGGATCCAATTGTATTTGATGGATTGTTTTAGGTCTGAAATGCTCAGTCAGGTAAAATGGCAAGACAGGAGATGTTACCTGGATGATGTATTCCTTCCCAGCATAGGCATCGGTGATGGTGTGGGAGGTGCTGTCAGATAGCTCCACCTAAACCGCCAAAGAACACAGCAGGTGGTCAGTTTGGATGACGGACCAGCACACTTGGGGTATGTTCCGTGAGTTAAAGTAATGTCGATTTTATTTTTGAAATCTGTACATATAGTAGTTAACAAAAGAGATGTATAAATATATGCCTTCTGTCTGAATGGACTACCATTGCCCTAGTGATACCAAATGTTCCAACATGATGAATTATGAAGATCCTCAGCTACAAGAGGCAGTCATAAGGCAAAAAGTATCTTTGGTCAGAATGTCATATTCTACCTATAGGTCTATCTATAAAATATGTGCTCAGTATAGCAATCCTAGCCTGAGCCTTTCATGTTTAATGACGCATCGATTCAGCTGTGCAATACAGTATACAACTTTTATTCAGTGCTTATTTATTTACAACGGACCTTTCTTTCAGCATTATTCTGTGCATAGGTCAACTTCGTTGCTTTATCCTTGCGGTGTTTTACATTTCACTGTTGAATTGATTGAACCTGGATGCCCCCCCCAGCCTCCACACGCATACTAACAGTCAGACACACTTGCAAAATACCAGTGGCATAATTGATGATTACCCCAGAATGCTTTGGCATCAATGCCACATCATTTTACAACACAGTGTAATGCATGCCAACATTTGAAAGCCTTTTGTGGACACTTTAATTTGCAGAGCGCAATGAATGAATGAACAAAAACGGTTTGAGTCATGGGAGTGTATGAGAGCATGATTTGCTGCCTCTCTAATTCACGGTTACTTTTGTGTGTGTGTGTGTGTGTGTGTGTGTGTGTGTGTGTGTGCTTGTGTGCTTGTGTGTTTTTGTTTGCCTTCGGCCCGTATCTGAAAGACTCAAGGAAAACTTGGGAGAAGGAGGGTGATGCATTTTCTACTGCTAAAGTTGAATTAAATGATTTATGGACATGCCTACACATGCATGCACACACACACACCTACTGTAGGTGATTCAGACTGAATCTAGAGCTTGAGGTTATCTGGAATTCTTTATTGTACTAACTTAACAAGTGTTTTTTTTATTGTGTTGGCCTGACTGTGCAGTATATTGTGAACACAAACTCAAATTTGGTACTAAGCAATACATTTACCTCATTTCATCAATACTACCAAAGCAGACATTTCTTACTGAATGGCATCTTATCTTTAGAGAACGACAGCAGAGTAAATCTTCTTTTCTGCTCCGTAATAAACGGGTGATTGACCATAGTCATCTTGATAATCTTGAATTGTTGGTTGGTCTCACTCAATCTATCTTCTGAAATTGTTTTTATGGTAATGTCTGCCAGTAACGGTGAATGAAATTTGGATGAATGGTATACAAACAATCACATCTCTGTGAAAATGTAAACTTATAAAACATCTGATGGACAATTTTAGAAACAATTTATATCAGGCTATCCTGATGACACTAACTAAATCAGTTCGTTGTGAGTCTGTATATTTCACTCTGCAGAAATGATGGACGTGATGGCCAAAACTACAAAAATAAGACCAAAAGTTATAATAAAACAGAACTGTCCTTCTAAATATTCTTGGTATCTCCCGGGCTGGGATTAAAAACCCCTCACACACCATATCATTTTTGCTAACCACCAGCCGTAACCAAGCTTCCGATTGGAGTTTCCCTTTTAGTTCTTCAGGATGTGCAAATCTGGAGTCGATCTGACAAATAACACCCCCACCCCCCCCGCCTCCTCTGTCTTCCTGTAATCGGTCTCCCATTGCTCACCCTCTCTGTAAAGTTGGCCCTTCTGTTTTCAACTTTGCCATCACAGCCTCTCTCTATCTGCTCTCACTCTGTCTCTCGCCCCCTCTCCCTCTGTTTGGATGGAAGTTCAGGCTTTATCTGCCTAACCGAGCGCTACATTTATAGGCTTAATTTCATTAGTGGAATGCAATAGTCCAAGCATGTGTGTGTGTTACATGTGTGTGGATAGACTTTGTGTATAGCATGTGTGCATGTATACGTTAACAGACGTGTGTGCAGCCTTTGAGCTTAAAACGTCCACTGTTTATGTGTAGTCCAACCAGCGTATCGAACCATAGCTTCTATCAGCATTCCTTTCTGACTCTGATGTGTGTGTGTGTGTGTGCTTGCATACTAATGTCGACCGTGTGAAAGCTTGTGAAAGTTCAGCCAGACACGTACGTCTGTTTGATTCCGTGTGTTCATGTAATTCTGTGCATGTGCCTTCATATTTTTGCATGTGTGTGTCTGTGTGTGTGTGTGTGTGTTTTTGTGTGTGCTTGCATTTGATTTGATTGAAAAAAAGAAAACACCAGTTTGGGAAAGTATTCCTCCCTACATTTGTGTTTGTGTTTCTTTGTATGCACATGTTTACTCTCAAGTCAGTCCATGTCTGATGAATTGTTGTTTCTGCTCACAAGGCTGATCTGGATCTAGTGCTTGAGCGTGTGCGTGTGTGTGTGTGCACATGTATGTGAACTACGGATATGTTTATATGTGAAGGAGTACTGTATATGGAGTAAACAGCTTGCAGATGAACACTTCCAGAGAGATGGATGTGTTACTGCGTTGCCAAGTGGCTAAATAGGGAGAAGTGTGAGCAGCACTTTGTATCACGTACTAGACGGAGAGAGGAGGGGAGAGAGAGGGGAGGGGAGGATGCACTGAGAATGCGTGAGGGAAGAGGGGAGATAGATGGGAGGAGGAGATGCATTTTGGAGAGGCTTGTTGCTTTTGCTGCCAAAAAAACGCTGTCAGATCTTTCACACTGCAAGACCAAGCCTGTGTGTTGTGGCAGTGGTGGTGAAGGGATGTATATTTACTTGTTGCTTGTGTGCGTGTGTGTGTGTGTGAGAGAGAGATTATTTTTGCTTCACATGTGTCTGCAGGGCTGATGTATTGTATACTAAGCTGTTTCGAACTTTAAAAAAAAAAGTGAGTGCAATTGTATGTGTATGTGACTCAGTGACTCCTCCACACTCACTGGCACAAAGGAAAGCAGCACAAACACATTGTCACTCCCAACACCCAAATATTTACCTTGCCACAATCACGTTCCATCGACTCAGTGTAAATACACTGTGTTCACTTACCCCAAGATATAATGCGATAATGATAATAATAAAGATTCTACCCAAATGGAATGACCACAAAATGGTCTACTTTGAAAGCAATGATCCCTAAATGTCCTCACTTTGGAGACATTTCCTCATTTCCTGCATAAACACCATATGTCAGTTCATTGTAAACAGCATATGTGAGCATGAATGCTTGACGATGAACTGGAGCAAACAGAGATGTCGGCCTGGTATTATTGCAGGAAGCCACAAGGGAGGCAGCACACCTGGATTTTCTAACCCTTTGAACATGTATGGAAAAGCTAACTCATTGTTGCTTCCTCCCTAAACCAAGTTCAACAGCTGCTTTACAGCAAAAACAACCCAAACCGCAGAATCCACAGTTTAAGATGAGTGCTGAATAAACATTTTACTTGGCCTAACACTCAACGGCTGCAATCACGTTTTGCCAGCTAGCTCCTCTTAGCTAGAGCAACGGCATTGCCAAAGTCATTGTGATCAACCAACTGTCTAGATGCTGCCGTAAGTAAACACAGTGCACAGAAATGGTAGACAAAACGCTACCTACCTAGCCAGCTAACTAGCTGGGTTGTGAGTTTGGATCATTTTGGTTTCTCGGTTCAGTTTTCTCAGTGTTACTGTTAGCTAGAAAGTGACATTATGAAGTAAAAAGTCCAGCAAAAAAAACAATAAAATAAAAATAAATAATGTAAGAATGATGAAATGACATTTCATTATAATGAGTTGAGTTTTAGTAACTGTACTAACTTCAATTATTGTTTTAGAGAAGCTTAGAAATTCACTCACACACACACACACACACACACACACACACATACAAACACAGCTTAGTGCTACTAAGCACACACACACACACACACACACACACACACACACACACACACACACACACACACACCCACACACACACACACATGCACACACTCCCCAAGAGCTTCTACACAAATCCAGACAATGAGAGGGGCAGAGAGAGGAGATGTGAACATTCCTCAGGGGTTGCATAAGGAACTGTGAGAAAAAGAAGTGACCCTTTATTTTTCACACATCCTTTATTTCCCCATTCTCCTCCACGCTTCTTTCCTCTCCTTTCCTTCCTATTCTCTTCCCTCTCTTTTTTGTCATGCGCCCTAATAACTCCTACTGAATACATTTCTTTCTCGTGCCTTCTTTAATCATTATCCTATCTTCTGCTTGTGTTTACTGTTGCAAAAACCTCAAACAAATTCCCCACTGGGATCAATAAAGTTTAATCTTACTGTGATGTTGTGGAAATTAAAAGTAAGGGATGAACTCCTGCTGATCCCTATGATTACCATTAAAAACAGGGCATACTAGGGGTCCAATAAATCCAATTAATATATGTAAAATATTCTCATTATAACCTGCATCAGGGGGATTATACTTGCGATCATATATTTAGTCATATACTGTATACCAAATATAGGCGCATAGGCTATGGAATAAAGCACCATACATTTACTGTAGGTCAGAGATGGAAATGACAATGACATAAGCAGAACAGTCGGCAGACAACAGGGGAAATATGTAAAGACAGAGAAGAGCAGACAGACAGAAGAATATGGAAGAATGAAGAGACTGACGAAACAGGGAAATGCAAAAAAGAGACAGTTGAATGAAGCAAGAGAGAAGGAAAAGCAGAGAGAGGGAGACATGGAGAAAATTGGCGTCGGTGGTCAGATCTAATCCAGTGAGCATGTCTGTTGTCCTGGAAAGGAAACCCAATTATATGGCACTTCCACTGGCCCGATGGCACTCTGTGTGTGTATGTGTGTGCACTGAGAAGGTTGGTCTCATTAGGTTGACTGACAGCTCCCATTTTTCCACTGCACACTCCTCCCATTTGAGAACACACACACACACACACACAAACACGCACGCACACACAGAAACGCCAAGA